GTGCTGAAATGGGGGGGTCTCATTATGCAGCTCAGGCTGGCCTTGAACTCCTGGTCTCAAGCGATCCTCCTGCCTCAGTCTCCTGAGCAATGGGTTTACAGGCGTGCGCCACTGTGCCTGGCTTTGTGTGTATTTTTTAACCCCAGAGAACAGACTGGAAAAATCGTTGGGAAAACAATGAACATTTTGCTTGAGTCTGCTGGGGGTGTGGTGAAGGGAGGGGCTCTCTTCAAGACTGCTGTCTCCCTAGAAGAAAGTTGGGCTAGGGCTAGGGATGGAACCCTGTCCTGGAAACCTGTCGGGGAGGTTCCTGCCTTCATGGGGAGCCTGAGACTCCTTTACTGACTTAGCTCATAAAACAGCCTACCTTTTCATAGGGCCAGGGGCTGCCTGGAAGAACCCTGTTTGCAGCTGCATTTCCAAGGGAAGGGAAGTTAGGCCCTGCATCAGATGGAGCCTCCAGGCACTAGCCACAGTGTGGGATTAGGATGCAAGGGCTTGGGAGGCCCCGTAAGGCCTGTGAAAGACTGAGCAGGTGGAGCTCAGAGATGGGTCCGGGAATAGAATGCCCTGGAGAGTCCTACTGTGGTTGCCATGCCTGTTACCCTGTCCAGCTGGGGCTGCCTGGGGTGGGGGTGGGGGGCATGGGGAGTGACATTGAGCTGGGCCCCAACAGTCCCATTCTGGCCTCTGTTCCTGTCCCTCTGGTCTGTCGTCCTCACCCTGCTGTGTGACTCACTGGGAGTTGGCTCTTGCCTGCCCAAGCCCAGTGCCCAGGGGCCCAGGCCATCCTCTGCACTCTGTCGCTGCCAAGTGCAGTAACTGTTATCCACACTTCCCATGAGGCTGTGGAGCCATGCATGTGGCTTCCTACAGGCTGGACGTCTGCCTCGGGTCCGCTCTAGGTCAGGCTTGGATGTTCTGGTCATGAGGACTTTGACCTCTTCGCTATGGGCAGGCTTCTCCCCAATCCTCCCCATGCAAGTCACTCTAGTGTTCTCAGCTGACCACTGGGAGGACCATGGTGCAGGGCAGCGAGTCCACATTACTCCAGTCATTTCCATGGTGCCGGGTGCTGTGGCTCATGCGTGTAGTCCCAGCTACTCAGGAGGCAGAGATCAGGAGGGTCACAGCTCAAAGCCAGCACAGCAGTTTGTGGGACTCTATCTTGAAAATAACCAACACAAAAAAGGTGCCGGTGGAGTGGCTCAAATGGTAAGAGTGCTGCCTAGCAAGTGTAAGGCCGTGATTTCAAACCCTAGCATTTACCAAAAAAAAAAAAAAAAGTAATTTTTATAGGTGAGGTCTTAGCACATCCTGGAAGGCTCCAATGTTTTTGCTGAGAAAAACCCTATTTATAATTTTTGCCTCTGTAGAAATCTAAGTTTAAAATAATTTGTTTCCTGGAAAAAAAATCCTTTGGTTATCATGTTTTCCTAGTCTGTTTTAATCAAAATGTTTTAACAAAAAACATTTAATATCTCTGCACTTTCAATTAATGTCCACATACTGGAGTTCATGTATTTCCAACAAAGTTATCCTTAGTTTTGGTAAATTCTTAATCTGGGGTAGAGCTTGCTCACGGCTTTTTAAAATATCTGAATTCCCCAGGGCCCTGGGCTCTCTTGGATGGGGAACCTCCTTGTTTTACAGAAAAAGGAATTAAGACCCAAATGGGTAATGTCCTTGTCCAAGGTCACAGGCTGGCACTGAGCCTGGATTCTCTTTTCTCCTGGCAATCGCAATGATCTGAGCACATGCCCAGCAGCCCAGGAGGCCCTCCCTGTGATTGGCCACTGCCTGTCCTCTTCCTGACTTTTCTGGAGCCTGGACCCCAGCCCCGGGCTGCAGGCAGGCCTTTAAGTAAACTTTCCCTGTGAAGCCATCTCAGAAGTGGAAGCCCTTCTGGGCTCGGACCTGAGCAGTGGTCTGCCACTGGACTCTGAGGTCACCTCTCAGGCCCAGTTTACTTATCTGTGAAACAAGATACCTACCAGAAATTTCATTCTGCAAATGAGTCAATAATGAATCAGGAGCTTCCTGGCCTCGCTCTGCTCACAGGCGGTGCTCCAGCACCACCTTCCTCCTCATTCCTTGCCATACACGATGCAGAATTTTCCTTTATTCCCCACTTTTAATGCAGGAGGCTGGGTTCCAAGTCTCTCCTCCCAGAAAAACAATAGGTCTTGGGAAGTTACTGTACCATGGTCAAGTCAGGGCCAGGCAGGCTGACTGGCTCTGTTGCTGCTGCTGGTGGCAATGTCTGAGATACAGAGCTCGGTGTCTCGGTTTCCTTAAGTGTAAAATGGGATGTCCAGTGGTCTGCACTTCATGGAAATAATCCAGGCACACAGTCAACTCTCAGTAAAGGCTAGTGACAACCACATTTCCTGCCAATAACCCAGGCATAGCACTCAGCGGCCCGGTAGAGTTCAGGGTGGTGGCTGCTTTCCAAGGGCCCTTCAAGTGTTTACTCAAATGTTTGTGTGTTCAGCTGCGGTTTTCTGGGGACTCAGGTCTGAATAATCACAGATTCTAATCAAATAGAGATCAGATTATATTGACAAAGTTATACAGATAGAGTAATGTGTAATGATTAAGGAGTCATCAAATGTTTAAATAACAAGGTGCATTTTAATGAGTTTTTAAAAATGACTATAAAAAGTGTACTTAAGATGAATCTAAACATTACTTACTGGTGTACAGCAAGACTTTCTTACACCTGCCCATCACTAAATTTCATATTTATCTTCCAGAAGTTTCCTGGACATGGAGCCACATAAATTGCTCTTTGAACACACCAAGTAGGCCATTGTAGATCCATGGCTTTTATTTAATAGATCTTTAACAGTGTGCATAGATATTACCACATTAACATTTAAGTTACTCTTGCCCGGAGTAACTCCATTTATGAAAAATGTTTTAAATTAGAAATATTATTAAATAAATGCTCTGAAGTTTAAACAGGTGTCCTTGGGTATTTTTTTTATACAGTAATACTGTAAGTCAGCACACCCTTGTATGTCCACCTGCAGGTGCTTGTGGGAATTTGTCTTTGAGCTGGATTACTAAAAGTGGCACTGCAGGCTAAAGGTTTTAAAAATATTGAATTTCCACAAACACTGCAAATCAGCTTTTTCAGGACTAGGGGAATTTTGAGCAGGACAGATGTATGCACTTTTATGTGATTTTACTCTAGCTTTTTCTGAAATAACTTGAGGAGAGGTTACCGAGTAACCTGCTCTGGGTTACTTGGTGTCGTACAGAAGGGCAGCTCTCAGGCTGTGCCTTGCCCAGAGTAACTCCATTTTATAAAGGAGCAGCGTGGTCTGAGTCACTTCATGTTGAGTGTAAGTGCCAAGGTAGAATGACTCTACATCTTGTTTATACAAGTAAAAAAATCACTGGCTGCCAGCACGCCACGATGCACAAACTGATGAATAATTTATTTCTGCCAATAAATAATTACACCTGTGAATATCACATCATATTAGAAATCCTAACACATAAGCTTATCAATCATACCAGATGTAACCCTCTCACTCGAGAGTATAAAAGGAGCAGTCAAAGCCTGAGATGTGACACTGTCACCTGCTCATCTATTACAAGCCTTGACCAGTAAAATCGCCACAGCAGAAACTCCATTTGTGTGTCACCTGGCTTCAGATCAAGCCTGGTTTCTCCTGCTCATGACACACCATCCACTTCAAACCAACATGAAACTTCCTGCCACCCTGACCTGAGTTTGACAACTGTGTCCCAAAGAGCTCTGAGCCTTACTTTGGTGAAACTTACAGTCCCCCACAAAGACTCTCTCTTGCATCTGTACCAGCTGTCTTGCTTTAGTCTGACTTTTGAATCCTGCAGCCTCTGTAACCCTCTCTTAGAAATACTGTAACCTATATATATATATTATCATGCAAAATGTGTGATCTGAGTTATTAAAGCTGGTAATGAAGACTGGAACGGAACCTGTATTGGCTAATGGTCATGATTGCCTAGTAAAATCAAGAGCACTGTGAATAATAGCAGAGGAAATTAACATGGCTTGTGGATTTCTTTACTCAATAAATTCTAACATTGTGGAAAGATACAAACGTTTGTTACTGGCATAGCTTGCTCATGGCAGAGGCTTAGCAGACTGTACTAGCCACTAGGTATTTGAAATAGTTTTCAAATGTACCCCATCCAAATCCAGCTTGGAGCTGAGGACCTGAGCAGGCCAGGTCACACAGGTATCAAGTGGAGGAGGGAGAGTGCCGGTGGCCCTGTGGCCTTGGTTACAGCCCCATAGGCAGTCCAGTCCTGGCACACTAACTGCACCTGCCTGTTTCTAGGACCAGGCACTAGCCAGGTGGCCCGTCCCTTAAGGTCAGATGACTCTTTTTGGCTAGGAGGGGGTAGGGGTCAGTGATCGGAGACTTGAAGGCAGGGGGGCTCCTGAGGTCGGCTCTAGGGTGACACCCCTTCCAGTGCAGGGAGTCTTCTTCCATCGTCAGACGCAGATACAACGTGCCCGGCCTGCTGCTAACTATAAATAGGTCCAAGGGTTGCGGCACGTGGGTCTGAAACGCTATCCTCGCTCAGAGCCGCGCTCCCAGGACAGTCCCCACTGTCCCCCACTCTTGGATGGGACCCCGAACCAGGGCTCACGGTGGAGGGGTGTCCTCCAGCCCGGAAACACCCTGGCTGCCCGCAGGGGCCCGCACCCCACGTGCCCGCGTGTCCCCATCCCCGGTCCGCGGTGTCCCCATCCCCGGTCCCGCGGTCCCCATCCCCGGTCCCGCGGGTCCTCTCCCCTGGTCCGGCTCCGTCCGTTATCCGGGCCGGCGTCTCGGCCCCCGCCGCCCTGGCCAGCGAGCCCCTCCCCGCGTGTCCCGCGTGTCCCCGCGTCCCGGCCGCCCCGCGCGCCGGCGGAACTGTGGGATCGCCGCGCACAGGAAGTGGCGGCGGCGCGGCCGAGGGCGGAGGGCGGAGGGCGGAGGGCGGGCGGGGCAGGGATGGGGGCCGGGGGCGGCGGGCGCCGCACTCGCTGAGGCCGACGCAGGGCCGGGCCGGGCCCAGGGCCGACAGCGCAGCGGCCGGAGCCGGGCCGCGGAGGCGACGCCGGACCGCGCGCGACAAGCAGGTGGCGGCCGCTGCAGGTGAGCGGCGGGCCCCCGCCCGGGCCGGTCCCCTCCCCCACCCCGCCGCCCGAGGTCGCCCCCTCCCCCACCCCGCCGCCCGAGGTCGCCCCCCCCACTCACCTCCACCGCCGCCCGAGGTCGGGCCGCCACGGGCCTGCGCCGCAGTGGGCTGGCTGCGCTCCGCCGGGCGTGGGGCCTGGGAGAGGACCCGGGCTGATGGGGGGTGGCGGCGTCCGCAGGCCCGGGTCCCACCCCCCCTCCCGTGCCCCGTCCAGTCCGAGCTCCCGCCCGGCCCTGGCCTCTGCAGCTCCGGTGGCTCTGGGCGCCCAGAAGAGGAAGGGGCTGCCGGCCCGGGCTGGGGCGATGCGAGCTGGGGGGGGTGGGTGGCGCTCCCGCCCCCTCCCTCTCTCGCTGGACTCCGCTCCGGGCCCCCCCTTCAAGGCGGACGCGACACGTCTCATTTCGGGGTTCTGGGGACTCCGCATGGCGACCCGGGCCCCGTGGGTTAGTTTCACTTTTTTTTTTTTTTTTTTTGCTTGCTCAACCCCAGAGGGAGGGCTGCAGGTGCGACTGCCGGGGACAGGATGTGTGCTGGGTGTCCCCTTTGGCATTGAGAGCAAAGGCCGACTGTGAATTTCCACGTTTCAGTCGGGTGATGGGGTCGGTCAGTTACCAAAGAGCCTGTGGGGAGGAGACACCACCCCGCCGTGGCCCCGGAGGACCCGCGGTGGCCCCGGAGGACCCGCGGTGCGGTCGGTCTGAGGTACTTAAGAAGGGACGATTGTTAGCAGTTATGCTGCCTTGTGTTGAAAAATGTGCAGTATTTTTAAACTTTGAAAGAAGTTTAGTGGAATACGGAAACGGTTTTCCAAATGGCTCCTCAGACTTTACTTTTTTACAAGCACTCTTGTCTAAGAGAATACTTGAGCAGTGGGGTTCTTTCTCCTGGGAAAGATCTTCAGAGAAGGAAAAATGAGGCCTGCTGGCCTTGAGACAGTCTGGAAGGGGAAGTGAGTTCCGATAGTAATAATAAAAAGCACCACAGAGCCAGGGTCCCCTATTTGGGTATTGGGGGTTGGCACTGGGGACAGTGCTGGTGGAGCTGCCTCATTCAGGGACTGCTAATCAGCCTTCCCCAGTGGAAAAGGTCCCAAAGGGTCTCCGGAGCCTGACCATTCTTAATTTAGACACTTCCTTACTTTACTTTTTTTGAGATAATCGGGACTGTTCTCCCTCCAGCCTCTGACAGCTATCTCCTGCATCCCTATCCTGCACTGAGGAATCTTTTTGGTTACATTGTTTTAAAAAGCAGTTACATTGATTCAAAAAGTGGTCACATTGTTTCACAGAGCGTTGCATTTAACTGTTCAGAGGAGTAGGCCTTTTCTTGGCCCTGGAAGCTACCTGAGTTGTATGTTTTGACCCAAGTATCATGGCGAGGCTACACTTGGTGGGACCTGCTGCCCTGTGTTAGGCCTTACCTGGGCTTATCCTGCACCCTGTCCACGGCAGGAGGGGTGTGTGTGTTGGCAGTAGACACAGAGATGTGTAGAATGGGTTAGGAGACCCTATAATATGAGGAAGAAAGATGCAGGAGGGATGCTGGAGTTGGGGGGAAGTGCCCCAGCCCAGGCTAACCTCCCTTGAGGACTTAGCACCCCATAAGGACACACCTGTGCCTGCACACAGGTTGATGTGCCAGGGTTGGGGAGGCAAATGGAAAGTAATTGATCTATTTGGAAGTTAGCAAAGAGTATTCACCATAATAACGTTCAGTCTGTTTACATCTGCCACAGTGCTCCTTAGTGGTGGTGGTTCGAATACAGGTTGTCCCTTTATGTGTGCTGTCTCTGGTCTGCTGAAGCTTGGGCCCTGTGAAAACATGGTTTGAGAAAATAGAGGTTTAGTTACTTGACCATGGTTATGTCACAAATAGGCACGGCCAAATTCAAACTAAGATCCAAGGGACTCCCTGCTTCCCAGACCTGTCAGTGTGCTGAGTCTGTGAACTTTCTTTCTGGCCCAGTTGTAGGTAGATAGGAGCATGGGAAAAGTTTTATAAACAGGGAAAAGGAAAAGCAGGTGGTGTTTGAGAGCCACAGTCATTGCTTTGCTTGTTTGTTTGTTTTGTGGGGAAAAGGGATAACATTAACTGGTCCATTTGCCACCTCTTCTGACCTGTGGCTGTGCTTTGGCCCTGCGGTGCTGACCCAGTGCCACAGGCCTTTCACATTGAGTGTTGGGCCCTTGTGATCACCCCAAACTCCCTCTGGCCTCAGCGCCCTCTGCCCCCACTTTGGTCCTATCAAAACCTCTGTGATTTTCCTGTTTACAGCTGTGGCTGATATTTAAAGAACAAAACTTTGGACATGGCTGGCCACATTTGACTGTTCCTCTTTTTCTTTTTTGCTGCTTGTGTAATGTGACTCTCCAGCTGCTTCACCTTCTCACTGAGGAGTTTACAGCACTGTAAGGTTGTGCGGAATCTTGTAAAACAATTGCTCAGAAATTTCATGGGGTTTCACTTGTGGTTAACCAAAGAATGTTGGGGTCTTAAGTGAGTTCCAAATTGTCTATGACAAAACATCTACAACTATCTGCCTTCCCTAAAACCACTTCCTAGTAACTTTAGGATTGATTCTAATCCTACATGCTACACTTCAGGCAAATGCACTAGCAGTTCAGGATCGTACAGTCTTTTTTTTTTTTTTTCATTTTTCTTTTATTATTCATATGTGCATACAAGGCTTGGTTCATTTCTCCCCCCTGCCTCCACCCCCTCCCTTACCACCCACTCCGCCCCCTCCCGCTCCCCCCCCTCAATACCCAGCAGAAACTATTTTGCCCTTATCTCTAATTTTGTTGTAGAGAGAGTATAAGCAATAATAGGAAGGAACAAGGGTTTTTGCTGGTTGAGATAAGGATAGCTATACAGGGCATTGACTCACATTGATTTCCTGTGCATGGGTGTTACCTTCTAGGTTAATTCTTTTTGATCTAACCTTTTCTCTAGTATCTGTTCCCCTTTTCCTATTGGCCTCAGTTGCTTTTAAGGTATCTGCTTTAGTTTCTCTGCGTTAAGGGCAACAAATGCTAGCTAGTTTTTTAGGTGTCTTACCTATCCTCACCCCTCCCTTGTGTGCTCTCGCTTTTATCATGTGTTCAAGTCCAATCCCATTGTTGTGTTTGCCCTTGATCTAATGTCCACATATGAGGGAGAACATACGATATTTGGTTTTTTGGGCCAGGCTAACCTCACTCAGAATGATGTTCTCCAATTCCATCCATTTACCAGTGAATGATAACATTTCGTTCTTCTTCATGGCTGCATAAAATTCCATTGTGTATAGATACCACATTTTCTTAATCCATTCGTCAGTGGTGGGGCATCTTGGCTGTTTCCATAACTTGGCTATTGTGAATAGTGCTGCAATAAACATGGGTGTGCAGGTGCCTCTGGAGTCACCTGTGTCACAGTCTTTTGGGTATATCCCCAAGAGTGGTATTGCTGGATCAAATGGTAGATCGATGTCCAGCTTTTTAAGTAGGGCTCCAAATTTTTTTCCAGAGTGGTTGTACTAGTCTACATTCCCACCAACAGTGTAAGAGGGTTCCTTTTCCCCCCGCATCCTCGCCAACACCTGTTGTTGGTGGTGTTGCTGATGATGGCTGTTCTAACAGGGGTGAGGTGAAATCTTAGTGTGGTTTTAATTTGCATTTCCTTTATTGCTAGAGATGGTGAGCATTTTTTCATGTGTTTTCTGGCCATTTGAATTTCTTCTTTTGAGAAAGTTCTGTTTAGTTCACTTGCCCATTTCTTTATTGGTTCATTAGTTTTAGGAGAATTTAGTTTTTTAAATTCCCTATATATTCTGGTTATCAGTCCTTTGTCTGATGTATAGTTGGCAAATATTTTCTCCCACTCTGTGGGTGTACTTTTCAGTTTAGAGACCATTTCTTTTGATGAACAGAAGCTTTTTAGTTTTATGAGGTCGGACAGTCTTTTATTTGGTTATTTACAGTTTGCCATGTTCTGATGATCTTTGTTAAGCAGAGTATGGGGTACACACTGAGAATCAGCGGGTCTACACTGAATTTTGGGGATGGTAAGAGGTGGGGGGTCTGGGTGCATTGCTGACATCTGTGACTGGCCATGTCTTCCCCACGTGTGGTGGAAAAGTCACAGACAGAACCCTATTTACATGAAAGTGGTAGTGAGTGGAGAGCAACACAGTATCCTTCAGGATGTGACAAGCAGAAGCCTCCTCCATGGCTGGAGCACTTTGTGTCACTTAGAACTAAAAATTGAAGCTGGGTGCTTCTGGTGGGAGCAACTTGCCAACAGTCCAAAGGCCTGTCCCCCCGTGACCCCGGGCCATGCATCATTAATAGAGATTGTCTAGAGCCTTTTTGAAAGTGGGTGAGGAATGAGATCCACAATAAAAGACAAGAGCAAGGGGTTAGAAACTGAGAAGTAGTCAGAAGCTGCTGGGAGAGACATTGCTGCCACAGCCTCCCAGTTCTGTTATTCAGGTGGCCAGTGGCTTTCCTCCTCAGCACAGCTGCCTGACAGCTCAGTCAAGGCAGCCCTTGTGCTCTTCCTCCCTGCTGTTTGCGACATTACATCTGTGCCTGCCGTGTCACTTACCTCTTGCTCATAATTTTATAATGAAGTCTACAATGACTGCACTCCTGGGAGGTGTTTTATATGCTGGTTATTTTGCTAAATTTTCAAAGCAACCCCATATTGACATGAAGAGATTGAGGCCCGAAGGCCGGTGTAGGGTTGCTCAGCTTTGTTGGGTCTGATTGGATCCAAAACCATTCTTCCTACCAGACCACCTCCATGCTTACATACGCAATATGTAAAAATCCACATTTCTCACAGCTAAGCGATTGGCCTCACACATGTATTCATGCAGACTTCACCTGCCGGATGAGGGCTCAGAAATCCCCACCTGAAATGAGGAAAGGGGCTGTGCCAGATGTGAGGTGAATGGGAAGAAAGTGTATCAGCT